GCACTGCCCACGCCGCCCGTGTCCCCCGACCGCGCCGCGGGACTCAAGGAACCGCCGGCGGAGGTGCTTCCGCGGCGCTGGGGCGCAGAAGCGCTGCCGCCGCCGCCGCCGCCGCCGGGGCTACCTCTGTCGCCCACTGGGCAAGAGGTGTCGGCGGCTGGCGACTCCGGGGAAGGTCCGAGGCGCCTGCCCGAGGCGGCAGTCCTTGAGACGGCGGCGAGGAAGGGCGGCCCCGGGGAGCCCGAGGCCGTTGCGGGCAGGGAGGGAGAGCGGCGGGGCGCCGGCGACCAGCCGGAGACGCGCTCGGTGTGTAGCAGCCGCAGCAGTAGCAGCGGCGGTGGCGACCAGCGCGCTGGGCACCAGCACCAGCACCACCAACCCATCTGCAAGATCTGCTTCCAGGGTGCGGAGCAGGTAAGGCCCGGGGGGTCACCGGGGCAGCGGGCTCAGGGTCGGCGGGGACTGGGTCCTGTAACCGCAGACCGGGGTTTCAGCACCACGGACAGCGCTCTTCTGGTTCCTCTTCTGCCAACTGCCATGGCTGCTGTGTGTTCCCCTCTCCCTTTTCGTGGAGGCAGGTTACAGTGTCCCGGTGGAGAACAAGGAGCCTAATTTGTTCTACACCTTCCCCCCTTCCCTGTTTCTGCTCTTTCACATTCCTCAGGTGCTTTAATGATGACGCCCTAAGTTATCACTTTTGTGAATTTCTGAATGGAATTTGGTTTATAATTACAAGAAAATCTACATTTTTTTTTCTACAAGTGTATCCGGAGACAGGATAGCCTTAGGCTGCAAACGGGGTTAGGTTATGTTAAGACCAATAAAGGCAAGGTTATTCCTTCTTGCATGCTGCAGTTTCTATAGTTGAAGTAGGAACGTACTTTGACATTTGTTAAAAAAAAAAAAAAGTCTGTGTAGTCAGCAGTGCAGTGCACTTCATATTTTGTTAGAAACCCAATTCTAAAATTATAAACTGCATTGAAAGTGCACACAACTTATAGGCAAGTAACCATGGAGACAATAGGATAATCTATTTCTCACGAAATGTGTGGTCTGAGAAAACATTAGGTTTAATATTTTTAAAAGTAAGGAAATTGCGTAAGAATATGAAGGCTTTCAGGAATACAGTGCCCTAAGTCAATATTTATGATGCTAATTTAGAAAAAGTAAAAGCATAATGCTATTGCAAGCTACTTTCTGGGATGCCATGCGATTCTTCTTCAGCAATGATTAAGAATAACTGCAGAGGAAATGCATCTGACCATCCACTTAAAAGTTATTAAAGAGATTTAATAGTACAGCTTTCCCCCAAGGGTACTGGGAGCTATATCTTGCAGACATTTTGTATGTTGCTAGAACATTTATGCCATAACTCTAAGCAGTAGCTTTGAAATAGTTTAAAGACTAGTTTTGTTCCCATCAGAGGTATAAACATTTAATTTCACTTCCTAGGATAGAGTTGATATTTGTATACTGCTAGGTAAAAGGCTTTGAAAGAAAACAAAGCCAATGTTAGATTTTTAAAAATAGGCACACAAACATAAGTATTCATACTGAGCCGATTTCTTTTCAGGGGGAGCTGCTAAACCCTTGCCGATGTGATGGGTCAGTTCGGTACACACATCAGCTGTGCCTGCTAAAGTGGATCAGCGAGAGGGGTTCTTGGACCTGTGAACTCTGCTGCTACAGATACCATGTCATAGCCATTAAAATGAAACAGCCTTGTCAGGTAAACTCTTGTGACCTTTTCCTCTGAAATAATTTTGCTAAATAGGAGTGCACTTGAGTTTAGTTATCACTAAGAATATTTACTTATGCTACTGTAAAACATGTTATGCAAATCACAAACAAACCAAGATTTAGAATTTGTAGATTTTTACATGATTTTTATGTAGTTTGAGAAGTCTGTGATACTTTTTACCTGAGAAACTCAAAAGACATTTTAGTAAACCAAAAATGGTTTACTAAAGCCTAACCCTCACCTATCTTTGTTTCTAAAAGAGCAGTCTGGTAAATATTTCATACTCCAATGAAATCAACTTTATTAATGAGAAATGTGATGCTATTTTAGTATTATTTTGTTCATTTAAGCACCGAAGCCCTGGGTGGGCTCTATTTCTGGAAAATAGATTCTAGTAAAGCAAAAATTTACTAGTCTGTGAACTTTATTTGAACCTCTAATTCTAATCTGGACCTTTTCACTTAACCAGGCTTTCTTTTTCATGAGGTTTTTTAAATATAGTTAAATCTTGGCTACTCTCTTTTTTTCTTGTGTTTTACTCCATAATGAATGCAGAAGTGGTGTCAACAATAATACTACTCAGGTTGTATATATAGTCTTACACTTTTACATAGAACTGCCTAATATCCCAATAAATATGCAAATACCCTTGGAAAATAAAATTTTTCTCTATGGTGGATCTGATTCCTGTTCTATAAATAGACTGGTGGAGTGGAAACTATAAAATATTAAGAATGACATCTTAAACCCAAGTGAAATAGTGCGTAATTGATGAGATCTGGTATTAAGATGGAGAGGAGGTTAAGCAGACATAAAAGTGTAGGGCCCAAGATGAAGAAACAGAGGAGGTAATGGGAGGGAAATGAGAAGGGAATTGAAAAATTAGAAGGTGAAGAAAGTAATAAAATCTAATGTCTCCAGTTTCTATTTAAATTACCAAATTTAGCTTGCATTGAGAAGTATAAAATAAGTAAAACGTTAGTCTTTGGAGAGGAAACCTGGGAAGTGAATCATTAATATGTCAAATTTTAGAGTTTTGAATTTGAGTACCTTTTACCTCATTTGTTATTAATTTGCATCTCTGATAGTCATTTAATGCATGATTAGCAAGCAAAAAGATAATAAAAGTGAGGCCTTTCACAAACTGAGACTTAAAAATAATTGGGAAAGACGAATGACTGAGGTGGAGAAGAGTTGTCTCCTTGCTGAAGATAGGCACAGAACGGATCCATTTCCCCAGAAATTTGTAATTGATTGGCCTACTTGGCTATTAATTTATGGAGCCATCATTCCTGTCTTGAAAACAGATGAAGCCATGTCCCCAAACCAGGGTATAAATAGCATAATGTAATACTTTAATTTTATGGGATATGAGTAACGGGGGACTCGGAGGCCCCGTGAAGAGCCCCACACGATCCTCTGTTCTGAAGCTGGAGTCGAATGCTAATGTCCTTCAAAAAGTTTAACATATGGCTGCTTTGTAGTAATTAATTTAGGATAATAAACTTTGAAGTAAGTAGCAACAGGTCCTTGATACAATCATAAAATGGAGAAGAGACAAAAGAAGTGGGGCAAAAGAATACTATCTGTCATTTCAATCCCATAACAAAGTGAACTAATTAAACCATGTGTTGCTTCATTGAAAATTTTTTTCACTAGTTACAAAATAACCAACAAGCCCAATGAAACCGACAAAAACCAACCAGACCCTACCGCTCCAGTATCACGACCCCAGTATCAGGACTACAGTTGGTATTAATTTTATGACATCTGCAACTACTGCCATGATTTAAGCTTGATTTGTTTGTTGCAGTGAAGTACAAAGTAATATTTAGAAACAAGGTTGCTATGAGTGTGATGATGATAGCTCAGGTCATGCTCAAGAAACTCATTTTCCAGGACTAGATTATGTGCATATAAAACTCAGCAGTCTTAATGCAGTCAGTCAGCAGGTTCCCGAGGTGTGAATTTTTCATTCCAGATGAAGTTTGACAAATTTTCAGACATTTCTGTTACGAATCACTGGCTAAGAGAGCACATCCTCTGGCTTTGGTGTTTTCCCCTTGCTGTGTGAGGCCAGGTAGAGGTGGTGTCCATTATACTTGTGTCTCTGGGGGGTGACAAAGACCCATTTCCTCGGGGGATAGCCTCCAACAGCAAACCTGTTTGGTCCCACCCTTCACTTTTCCTCTCCCCCTCTTCTGTGTGTGGTGCCTCCCATAACTGAGCACCTAGATCTTTAGATACCGAACACAATAGGGAGCTGATAATAATACTGAGAGAGAGCATTCACCAAACTCTTACTCTATGCCAGGCACTGTTCTAATTGCTTTACATAGACTGATGCTGATATTTAATCCTCGTAACAAGTTAAGAGGTGGAGGATTTTGTTATTGCTATTTTACGCGAGAGAAAATTGAGGCATGGAAAAGTTAAGTAACGTCGACTAGATACGTATCTAGTAAAAGACAAAGCTGAGTTTCAGACTCAGTCAGGCTGGCTCTGAAGTCCCTGAGCTTGGCCACCAGCCCTGTGCTGCAAGGTCTTGACTCCTTGGCGGCCACCCTGATGTTTCTGGGGCAGGACAGCCTGACCTGTGTTGTGTTTCCACAACAGTCGAACAGAGTCAGGCAGGACCTGGGTTCAGCCCGAGTATCTAGCAGTCTTTGACTACCGTTGCTGCATAACAAACCACCTCAAATACACAGGTGTTTACACAGTTGTTTCAGTAGTATAAAGGATATCATAAGTATAACAACTAGTAGATATCACTTATTATCTCTGAAGATACTGGAAGAGGGAGGTTGCTGTGGTGCTTTCTGTCTTGTGTGTGAGTCTTGGGTAGGAGTCTGGGGATGTTGAGCCCAGACTCTCATTGAACTGGTTCCTATGCTGACTTGGCTGTTGGCTGACAGCTGATGCCTCAGTTTTCTTTTCTTGCGACTTGGGCTTCTCACAGTCCTTCCCTTTGTATTCAAAGAGTGTGAAAGTGGGAGTTAATGTGCTCAACCGAGGCCTGCTGCAGTCTCTATTTTTCTTAGTGATTTGTTTCATTTCTGTGTACGAGAACTGGAGTATAGGCCAGAGGTACGTGGGGCAGTGAGAGGATTCACCAGAGAGAGTGATTAATCCGAAGTGATTATGACCACGATGTACATCTTGGTGCCCAGAGGGACACAGGAACAGAGAAGGGGAAGGAGCAATTATTTGGAAGCCTGTGTGCCTGTGTGTCTCTATGTTTGAAAGATAGAGAGAGAATTGGGGTGGGGGGAGAAGAGGACTGGGGGAGGGGGAGAGAAAGAGAAACATTAAGGTCTAAAACCTTAGTTTAAATTGTTTTTGCATTGAGATTAAAATTTTGGTCCAAACCTGCCCATTTCATTGAATTTTAGTGATTCTCAGCAGTACAACCCAATAAAAAGCTGATATGTCTTCCCAAGAAGTTTAAACCTTATTTGCTATATCATTAGCAACAGGAGTTGCGTAACACATGCAAGGTCATTAACATGCATTTACCTTCCTGCCTACCTACAGAATCCATTTTATTGATTAGCATATTCAAAGATGATGAGTTACTGACACTTGAAGAGTAAATCTTTTTGAATCTCATAGTATGGTAGGTATACAGTGAGTGGAATCTAAGTGCATGCATCATTACATTTATTTTGAGATGTTGGTGACTTTATCAACTAATTCTTCTCTATTCAAGTTTATGAATGCTTCTAGTACTTTTTCAAGAAAGATGGACACTTGAAGATAAAGTATTGTTTGGGAAGCTTTAAACTTGCTATTAAGAGTTGAACTGTCGGGCCCTCTCTGGTGGCACAGCGGATTAGAGCACAGCACTGAGAAGCTAAAGCCACGTCAATATGAGTTCGATCCCCACCCCGGAGGTGACCCGCATGGCGCGGCAGACCTCTCCTGACCCTCCCGCTGCTCCTCTCAGCAGTGCACTTCGTCAGTCTGTCTGTTCTGCTCCCCACTCTGTCTCTGGTGAATCTTCTCACCACCCCTGCACGCTGGCCCGTACCCCAGTTCTGTGTGCATAAAGAAGTTAAAAAAAAAAAGAGTTGAACTGTAATGCCCACATATAGAAAAACAGTGTAAATGGAAACTAATAGCTAAATTAACTTGTATGTCTCAAAAGTCATCCTTAAGAGATGAAAATCTCTTTTAAACACTCTGTTTAGGATTAAGTATATCTATCTGCATACATGTTACCCCCCCCACACACACACCACACATGCAGAGTGCTCAGTGCCAGTTCCCGCTCAGCTGGTCTGTTAATGTTGGCCCTGATCACGTTAGTGTTCAGTCAACAAACAGCAGTGGCGCCCAGCAGCAGTGCTCACAGGTCCCCGCTGTTTCCTTCAGTCCCTGGAGCCAGTGGATAACTCCTCACCCCACACCATTTTTTACCCCTGGTGTTTACTCCTATTTTTGTCAGTTTCTGACCAGATCTGTTGTAAATAACAGAGACAACAGCATTTTATTTATTTTTAGAGATTTATTTATTTATTCATACAGAACTGGGGTACAGGCCAGAAATGCGGAGGGTGAGAGGATTGACCAGGGACAGAGTGGGGAGCAGAACAGGCAGATCGACGAAGTCCACTGCTGAGGGGAGCAGCGGGCGGGCCAGGAGAGGTTCTGCGGCACTATGTGGGTCACCTCCGGGGCAGGCGGGCATCGAACTCATGCTGAAGTGGCTTTAGCTTCTTAGTGCTGTGCTTTAACCCGCTGTGCCACCAGGGAGGGCCCTATTTTTTACTTTATTTTATCTTTTTAAGATTTATTTATTTGTGCATATAGAACTGGGGTAGAGGCCAAAGGTTCAGGGGTGGCGAGAGGCTTCGCCAGAGACAGAGTGGGGAGCAGAACAGGGCAGATTGACGAAGTGCACTGCTGAGGAGAGCAGAGCGGAGACAGAGAGTTCTGCTGCCTTGTGGGCCACCTCTCTGGCCGGGGATTGAACTCGTGCAGTGGCT